AATGAAATAGAATTAAAGACCCAGACATATATGAACACCTGATTTTGGATAAAGAAGCCCAAAATGCACACTGAAGAAAGCAGCATCTTCAACAATTGTTGCTGGTCAAACTGGATAGCTTCATATAGAAGAATGAAAATAGATTCATGTCTATCACCAGACAGAAAACACAGCTACAAGTGGATTAAGGACCTCAACCTAAGACCAGATACCCTGAACCTGATTAGAAGAGAAAGCAGGGAGTATGCTTGCATTCACTGGCACAGAAAAGGGCTTTCTGCAAGGACCCCTGTTACATAGGCATTAAGATAAACAATAAATGGGACCTTGTGAAACTAAAGGGCAAAAGACATCATCATTCAAGCAAGGAGGCAGCCTACTAAATGGGGGAAAAATCTTTGCCAATTATGCATCTATCTGGTAGGTTTGCAACGTAACTGAACAGTTGCATAAGCTCCGTCTATCCCGAGGGTGGCAGAGAATTGAAGACACTCAGTGCAGTGCCTAGCATATTACAAGGTACCATGGTTATTTTCCTATTTTATTTTTAGATGCTTTAGAAAGAGGGGGATCCAGCCTGTGGAGGTCAGAAAACTTGAAGGAGTTGCTTCTCTCCTTTAATTGTGTGTGTCCTGGGGATCAAACTCAGGTCATCAGGCTTAGCCCAAAGCTCCTTTATCCACTGAGCCATCTTGCTGACCTGCCATGGTTATTTTCATCATTTGGTTCCCAGATACTGTTGGCTCTTAAAAATCTTCTACTTGGTGTTTCTGGGAAAGGAAACACCCGAGTATAAAAAAAGCCAGAAAAGCAGGGAGTAAACTGAGAGGTGGGGCGGTGGATGAGCTGGAGAGTGATCAAGGCTCTTCTCCTGGTTTATTACTTGTCACTTGAATGAGGTTATTGACCAAGGTCACAGGAGCCAGGTGGCTTGTTTGGCAGAGGTGGAAGAAGCCTCTCTAGATTGTCTGGGTTAGATAAAGAGGAGTTTTAAAAAGAGAGAGGCTAGGAGGTGGTGGGCACATGGATTTGATTGAATTTGGACCCTGGTGCTGCCACTGTAACCTTTCACTACCGACTCCATCTGCACAAGATGGGGACAAAACCTATCTTCTTCCTAGAGACTTTGTCTCTTCAGGCAAGAGTCTCATTGTGCAGCCCAGGCTACCCGCACACCCTCCATCCTCCTGCCTCAGCCTCCCAAGAGTGCTACCATTACACATGCTCCTTACCTTTGCCTGCCTTCCTTGAGTAGTGAAACAATTTTAATACTTGATAAATTTACTAATATTCAGGCAGGGGAAAGAGGTTGAGCCTCATGCAGTGTGGACATGAACCACTGTCGGATACGAACATCTGCTTATCTCTGGTCCTTTAGGGAACTCCAGCAATGAGCTGTGTTGCTTACAGGTATTTTCATTCTTCTGGGGAGCTGCTTGTTGAAGGTGAACAGAACAGAAAACTTTTCCTTTTCTCCCCTGTGAGGAAATAAAACTTGGGAAAAGCTTCGAGAGTTGCTGTTCTGGTTGCTTAGGTTGTTTATTAGTTTGTGTGTTGTTGAGCGCGGGTACCCACATTCCACAGTGCTCATATGGAGATCAAATGACAGTTTTTAAAAGTTGCTTCTCTCTAGGGGTCCCAGGATTGAATAAGAACTTGAGGGTTACCCAGCAGGCACTAATATCTGCTGAGCCATCTTGCTGCCCCCGTTTTTTTTGACAGGGTCTTACACTCATAGCTGAATCTGGCCTCCATTCCAGTCTATATTGCTATTTGTAACTTCTGTGATTCGTGAATTGTAGTTTTTTTCCCCCTAGTTAATTCCAGCATTGTTTACTGCATGTAGGCAGAAGGGACTGACCAACAGGCCCCAAAGATAGGACATACAGAACGGTGGGTGGGGTAGCTCAAGGACCGGAAACAGAACGTGGTCAGCTCCAGATAGACTAAGCCCAGGCCCTAGAAACAGATGTGTAAGGACAGTAGGCAATAGTGATCCATGCCAGCTAGATCAGATCAAAGTGGCCTCCAGACTCCTGTCAGTGCAGCACACATGGAGTGTGTTCCTTTCCCCTAGTCATCCATCCATCCTTCCTTCCTCCCTCCCTCCCTCCCTCCCTCCCTCCCTCCCTCCCTCCCTTCCTTCCCTCCTTCCCTCCTTCCTTTTTTTGTTTGTTTGTTTTATTTTCAGGATAGGATTTCTTTGTGTAACCCTGGCTGTCTTAGAACTCAATCTATAGAACAGGATGGCCTCAAACTCAGAGATCAGCCTGCCTCTGCCTCCCGAGTGCTGGGCTTAAAAGGTGTGCACCACCACCTCCTGGATCCTAGTAAACTTTTCAGTTTTAAGGGGTATGCATGCATCTATTTATAACATTCTAGGTAAAATGGGCCTTGAAAGCGTGCCCTTTTCCTAGAAGGACTCCCCACTGAGGGAGGCACATGGGAAGAAACAACAGGAAGAAGATATTAGTTCCAGCCTGCAAGGATCAGCATGACTGCTTGCTTGGTCCACTCTGCCTCGAGTGGATTCTTGCTTCTTGCTGCTCTGGCTATAAACTCGCTGATTGTGTGATCTGCTCCTGTGTCCTGACTCAATTCTCCTGGAGAACATACGAATTGAGACTGCTTCCGGCTTGAGACCAGAGGAAGCCAGAGACCTCCCCACAACACAGCTGTATGGTGTTCATCAAGAAGATGAATGCTGTGCCACAGATATAAAGTGATGAGGCGCGAATAGAATTAATTTTAGGAGAAAATGTCTCTTAATGGATTGCAGTTTTGTTCAGTTAAAAAGCATGTGAAAATTCTGTTATGCCTTTCACATGTCACGTTTTCATCTGCTGAGCATTAATGAACCCTGTTCAGTTTGTATCCCTGAGCTTCTGGATGTTTAAATCTGTGTTGCAGTACTGGTATGTGGCATCGAAGAAGACATGTTGTGTTCTTCCTACTGTTGTAGTAGACACTGTACAGGTAGTGGTGTGTGCTTACTTGTAGAGGCTAGAGTTGCTGCTGGGAGTTCTTAGCCATCAGTCTCTACCATATTTTTGAGACAGGTTCTCAGACTGAACCTGAAGTGGCAGACTTAGCTAGACTGAATGGCTAGAGAGTCCAGTCTGCCTGTGTTGGGTTTTCTAGATGAGTGATGGATCTGAACTAAAGTTCTCTAGCTTCTGGGACACATACTTGACCAACTCCACCATCTCCAAAGCACTGGGCTTGGCAGCAAGTCCCTTTCCCCACTGACCATCTTGCTGGCTTTTCTTATAAAATATTAAGTATGTTTGAACTGGAGTCCAGGAGAGAGGAAGCACACTAGAAGAATCTAGTTTAACTTTGGATATCGGTCCTCATGGGCCATCCACTGTTCTTTAGAGATAGGGTTTCTCACTGACCTAGCACTCCCTGAGCAGGACAGCCTGGCTTGCGGTGAGCCCCAGGGATCTTCCCGTCTCTGTCTCCCCAGCACATGCCACATACCCTGTGCTTTTATGTAGGTTTGGGAGAGCTCAAGTCCTTGTGCCTGCAAGGCTAGCACTTTGCCAACTGAGCTATCTTTCCCAGCCCAGGAACTTGTATTTCAACCAGAATGACACGTGATTTGGACAGTTTGACTGATTTAAGGATCACTTCAATTTAGACAGATGAGACACCCTCCTAAATACGTTCTCTAATTTTCCTGATAGGTAGTCACCTAAACTCTTATCGCCTCCCCTGACTGGAACTCATTACCACCATGCCAGCAAGGTTATTTCATCAGTGATTACATGCAATATTATGTATGCTCCCGTAGAAATCATTGTTTACTATCCTGTGTGGATCGGGCCATCTTCTTTGGACAGAATTTCATACTCTTTAGGGTATTGGTTTTGAGTGTAGATCTGGGTTCTAATCCTTGCTAAACTCACTTTCCTTATATATACAATAGATGTGTTTTTACTCGCCTTGAAATATTGCACTAAAGATTAAATGGAAAAACAGTGACAACAAAATCAAAAACAACAGATTGCCTTGGCCAGATTCTTGAATGTCATCAGACAACCTTTTCTTTTAGGGGAAATGGAGGAGGGTCAGGGTCTTGCTGTGTAACCCAGGCTAGCCTCCTAACTGCTGGAATAATAGGACAAGTCCCACCATACTCTGTCAAATATCTGTTTGATAGACTGTTCTTTATTGTTTAACCTCCTCTTCATGATGAATTTTTATTTCTTGCTTTAAAAAATTACCAGGTGATGGCCTTTAATCCCAGCACTTGGGAGGCAGAGGCAGGTAGATCTCAGTGAGTTCAAGGCCAGCCTGGTCTGCAGAGCAAATTCCAGGACAGCCAGGACTGTTACACAGAGAAACCCTGTTTTGAAAAATAAAATAAAACAAAAAATTATTTTGTTGCATTAACTTTTTTATGGGTGTGTGTGTGCAAGTGCATGTCCCAGAATGCTTGTAGAGGTCAGAGGGAGGACAACACGTGGCCTGGGGGGCGTTAGTTCTCCACTTCCAGTTTTCTTGAGTTTATTTTTCTTTTTCCACATAAAAAAAACTTTCCATGTGTGAAATTTGATACTCATAAATATTAAAGTGATTTATTACAACTATTTTGAAATCATTGTCATGTTTTGCCTTTTATATTTTGAGGCAATGCCTATGTGTAGTTCAGACATTCCTGCACAGGTGAAGCTGCTGCTCCTGTCACCTCAGGCCTCTTTATACAACAACCTTCGATCTTTTCAGAAAAGTGATGCTGATTTTACACTAAGTTCTCGGTTGTTCTCTAGGAATGTGGGTACCTATATTATAGATGATCAGAAAAGGATGTGCTTTGATTATAGGTACTTCTATTGAAAATATTGGCTCTGTCTTGTTCTTAATAAAGAGTGAATGTGGTTTTAGAATTGCCTGTAACTTCCATTCATGTTGCCAGTCTACAGCAGGAAGGAGAACAAATGTTGATTTTATGAAGTAATTTTATATATTGTTTTGTTCTGTGTTTCTATTTTTAGGACCGGAGTAGGCCCTATGACACTTTTAACTTGCACTCCTTGGAGAACTCCTTAATGGATATGATAAGGACTGACCATGAGCCTCTGAAAGGTAAACACTACCCTCCCAGTGGCCCACCAATGAGTTTCGCTGATATAATGTGGAGGAATCATTTTGCAGGTTAGGAATATTCATATGTCCATTCTTGCTTGGTGTTTTAAGCAAAAATCAGCTTTTTAATAATTGTGATTTTTTGTTGTTTGTTTTTTTGTTCGTTTGTTTGTTTTGCTTCTGTAAAGCATTGTGGAATGTTTTTAAAGTTTTCTTTTTTAACCTGGGTTCAGCTACCTACAATAATCATAGCTGGTAACCTTAATCTGTTTATCTGGAAGAAGTACTTGTTGGGTAGCTGAGGTCATGGTTATAGCATGAAACCTGAAGCCACATTTTCTGGGCTTTGTACATTTGGAATCTTTAGCTGAATCTGCAGAATTCATTTAAGTCCAGGTATACCTCAAGAAAGTATGACATTTAGTAAATCAGTCTCCAAAACCCCTACAGGAGGCTTCATAGATATGGTTTCATTGTGTTAGAGGCCAACCCTTTCCTAGCATGGGAGCATCAGAGCACAGCTTATGTGCAGCCAGTGGCCCTTTGCACAGTGCGGGCTAAAGCACAGGAAGCTATCTGGAAGTATATGCATGTTTTGAGTTCATTATGAGGTAAACTGTTGCATGATCAACAATAGTAGGACTTAGAGAGCCCGTGTAAACTCATAATTACAGGTGGTTCTTTTTATAGATTATTTGACATTTTAGAGACTCAACAGTATTTTAACACTGTAATGCAAGTTACTGGTATGGAAATATCCACTCCATTTTGAGTTAGACCTTTAATTAAAAACTGAACAGTTTGTCACAGGGATGACCATCTTGAGTGAACTCTACATCTTCTGGAATTGTGAGGACTTGTTCCTCTCTGGCATTCACTAGACCCTTATCTAGGATGTGACCAACTGAATACCAGACATTTATTACCCCCCCCCCCCCAGAAATCCTTTTCACCATTTTCTTGTCATTCTCATCTTTTCCCTGCTTCTTTTCTTATTTTCCAGTGAAGTAGTAACAGTAGGCAATGGAGAAAATAAAGGCTCTGGGGAAAAGCTAGATTTTTAAGGCCTTCAGCAAAAGAAAAAAGCAAAGAAAAAAATGTTGTTATATTTAGTCACTTACCACATATTCTTCAGTTAAAGATTAGGTCCATGGTAATTTGAGGCCTGTTATACTTAGAGGTGAGAATGATGTAAAAAATGATACTCACAGATTGTTTTTAGACTCTTTTGAGGTTGCATTTATCGTTTTTCTCTACCATGGATAGCCTCTCCTGATTACCCTACCATTTAACTCCTGTTGTCTTTGTGTACCTTTTGTGTCTTGGGCTGTATTCTCTGCCTGCCCTCCCCCTGTCTCTCTCTCTCTCTCTCTCCTTCTCTCTCTCTCTCTTTCTTCTTGTCTCTCTCTTCCTTCTTTCTTTTTTCTGTGACAGGGTCTTGCTGTATAGTTCAGGCTGTCCTAGAACACATTCTATATCCCAGGCTGACCTTCGAACTCAAGGCAATTCTCTTGCCTCATTCTTGTGACTGCTAGGATTATAGGGTTACACCTTTGTATTCTTCTTTCAGTAAGAAATTAGGACAGGATTTTAGATTATAGTCTCTACATTAATTTTTAAGAATTTTATGTATAGTGGTAAAGCAGAAACTATTTGAGCTTCATTAAGTATAGCACTGGCATAGTAAGAGGGTAACCTCATTATGATGTAAATGCCTTTTCCATTTGTGGTGTTCTTTTAAAATTACAGGCCCCATTATCTCTGCAGACTTTTCTTCACTAGCAAATATTAGGTAAAAGCCTGCTTTATCATACATCCTAATGAGTTGGGAGACCTATAGTATATACTTTTTTATAATCTGAATATGGCTTCAACTTCCCAATTTGCCATATTGTACTGCATGATTTCCTATAAACAGACTACTTCCCTGAGGTCAGTGACATCACTATGTCCCTGTGGTCAATGACAGCACTTGCACCTTTAAGAAAATATTTTGACACTGGGCATGGTGGTGCACATCACAATCTCAGCTCTTGGGAAACAGAGGCAGGAGGATGATATAAGCTCAAGGCCAGCCTGAATTTATACATAACAAGTTCCTGGCCACACAGAGCTGTATAGTAAGACTTGTCTCAAAAAACCAAGAACAGGAACAAAGAAGGAAGCAGAGGAAAGAAGATGTGTGAGGTACTTTTCACTTTGAAAAAGTAAAGAAAATTGTCAGACTAAAGATTTGGCTATGAAGTTGAGCTGGAGAGAAAGCTCAGTCTTCAGGCTGGAGAGATAGCTCAGCCTTCAGGCTGCAGAGATAGCTCAGTCTGAGTACTTGTCTTGCACCATTATGGCCTGAACTCTTTTATGTCTAAAAGAGTTGGGCATATTAGTGTGTGCTCATAATCCCAGTGCTGGGGAGAGACAGGCAGACAGACCCTTGGCACTCACTGGCCAGTGGGCCTAGCCAGCTTATTAGTTCCAGGCCATGGGAGACGCCATCTCAAAAGCAAACAAAAAACTATAACCTCACCAAAAACATGTGGATGGTACCCGAGGAATGATAGCAGAGGTTGTCCTCTGTTGGATCTCCACATGTACACATATGTATCTGCACACATGAACATGCATATACATACAAGTAACTTAAAGCAAAGAAACATTATGATGGTTGTAGCCTTTAGTTTCTATTTTCTATAATAAATACCTATGTTTCTTGCTGATATTTATAATTTATTGATAGAACTTAAATTTAGACTTTCTAGTTTTCCTTTTTCCTAGGTGATGCTGTTGTAAGTTTTTCTTCACATAGTTTTTGCTTAGGGCACATTCATAGTGATGGCCTATGGTTCTAAAGATAGAAACATCAGGTGGGTTGAGGCATTAGGAGCTAGATGATACATTAGGGCATGTGCTTTGCCCTGTTCCATCTTGTTTTCTTTCCTTCCAGAGTATCCTCCTTAGATCCTCAGTCTTTTCCCTCTTCAATATGGAAACACTGTGGGGTGGGTGGGGTATGCGTGTCTTGAGACTTGAATAGAATTGGATTTTGGGGTACTGATTTGAACTGGTGTTATTTTTCTTAGAAACTGGCTTTCTTGAGAAAAGATCCCATATTTTGCTTACTATACAAAAAAGTTCAAATAATACATAATGAGTTAAAAAAGAAAGTTAAAAAGCATACAGTAGGCTCTATACATAGAAATAACATGGTTATTTAGCTGTCTTTATTAAGAACCTTCCAGACATTCTACACTTTCTATATAGGAGATGAAATTTCAAAATGCAGCCTTTCTAACTTTATAGTCAGCCCAAACTGGATTTTAGTTCTTTATCTGCCTCTAGTTGACTATTGAACTGGACCCATTGGCTTCTTTAAAGATAAAACATCTTATAAGACAGGCGGGAAGATGACATCCCTGGCACAGGGAACTGCAGATACCGCATGGGGTTTCCTAAGGAGGTGGATGTGGCTTATTTTTCGACTTCCGTAATAAATTAAGCCATATCAGTACAGATTTATTTCTTGCCCAATGTTGGCAGCAAATTGTCAGAGCTGTTTTTATTTTTCATAGATAAGTAGTGATTACTGAAGGAGAAACCATCACATGTGTAGGAGAAGGGAACTGTCCTAGGTTACTTGACTTTTTAACTGTTCTGTTGTTGTGAAGATACTCCATGAACAAGGCAACTTACAAAAGAAAGTATTTAACTGGGGACTTGCTTGCTGTTTCAGAGGGTGAGCCCATGACCACCATGACAGGCAAGCATGAAATAGGAGCAGTAGCTGAGCACTTGAATCTCAAGCTGGAGGTGGGGCTTGGGTAGAAGGGGAGGAGGGGAGAGAGAGGAGAAAGAGAGAGACAGGGTCTGGTGTGGGTGTTTGAAACCTCAGAGCACAGCCATAGGGACACACTTTTTCCAACAAGGCCACCTCCTAATCTTTTCTAAAGTAGTTCCATCAACTAGGTACCAACCATTCAAATATGACACAAATTACTTCATGATATACTTAAAATGGACATTGTGTATATTCACAGTGGTAGTCATATAGAAGATATCAGTATCTATTTAAGAAATATTTAGTGAAAAATCATTTTATTCAAGAATTCTTTTAAGTCAAAAAAAGAGAAAAGGCTAGAGTGAGAATATGAAGTTTAGGAAAAGACTTCTGATTCAGTAAATTAGACCTCACAGTTTTTTGTTGTGTTTGTGCTCATGCTGGGTCAGTCTAGCTGACGAATCACAGAGGAGTGGCTTGTGTGGGGTACACGTGTATGTAGCTCAGTCATAGAGCAATGTAGCCCAGTGGTAGAGCACTGGGGGATACACGTGTATGTAGCCCAGTGGTAGAGCACTGTGCGGAAGCCCTTGGTGGGAATCCCAGCACATGTAACCCGCAGGAAAAAGGAAAGGAAAAAAGTGCCTTCTGGTGCAGTGCTGGCTAACTCAGTTTGGCTGAAAGTGACAGAATAAAGGTCTTTTTGCCTTCCACTTTGTATATATATCCCCTTCTCACTTAAGAGATGCCTCATATTGATGAGACAGGAGGGTTTGAGACAAATATAAGATATAGAGTTGTGTGCCAGGCAGTGGTGGCACACTCCTTTAATCCCAGCACTTGGGAGGCAAAGGCAGGCGGATCTCTGTGAGTTCGAGGCCAGCCTGATCTACAAGAGCTAGTTCCAGGACAGGCTCCAAAGCTACAGAGAAACCCTGTCTCAAAAAACATATATATAGTTGTGAATATTCTTACTTTGTTTCTAAGCATGGGAATCCTTGAATTAGCAGAGGTAGGAGTGGTGGAAGGAACTAATCTCTGCTCAGATTCAACCCTCCTCCTAACTATATAGAGAGAAAGGATTTCTAGTGTTAGAAATAAGACTAGAGAAAGGAAAAAAAGAGTCATCACTCAGCTCTCTTTGTTTGAGACTGACTCCTGACTTGGAAACCTGTGGTCATCAGGCTTGACTGGTCAGTCACCCTCCCTACTAGAATAAATGAGGAAATAGCAGCCATATGCTTTGGACAGAGTAGCTGATTGATAGAAAGCAAGATCCCATCCTCAGGCAGCTAGA